GATGTTTGAATTCAGGTTTTCCAGAGGCTGTAGATGCTTCAAGGCATCGGATGGAAACGCAGAGGGTCTAGCTCAGCAGGCAAAAAGGAACAGGTGGGAGTCCTTTGGCATTTATAGGGCTTCCTACAGGTCAGTGCCGCTCAGAAGCATTGGCCAACAAATGTCGGAACAGGAGCTGTTCAAGCTGTTCAGCCTTCAAGACTCATCTCAAATGCTGTTTCTTCCATGAACTCTGACCTTTGAATCCCAGTAGCATTTTATTTGAGCCTTTCTTGGGATACTTTTAAAATTCAGGCACAAACTGAAATTCATGTGCCTTTTCTTAACCCCTTCCCATCCCCACCGCTGTTCTTACCCTCTCTCAGGAAAACTCTGGTGTCTAACTCAGCGTAACCTGTTGTGTGGGTCCTGTCATGGCAACCGAATGTAGCAGGTGCTTCATGAGTGTTTGCTGAAGCCTACTGGTCAGTCTTCTGTGGGTTTCACAGACCATCGGTTCTAAAAGACGCTCCCTTCAAAACGTGCTTTTTGGTCAAACCCTCTTCAGAACACTGCGTGTGGCACTCTATCTCCTTTTTGGAGACCCACAGTTTAATTTGTTTAAGCTCAGCACTTCCCAAAATTATTTGACCAGAAAACAATCCCTTCTACCTTTTACTCCATGAATATCCCAAGAGACTGCTGTTTATAAAAAATATATATGTTAGAGTACTACTGAAGACGTGACTTATTTGAGTGCCCAAGCCCTAACGTCAACATTCTTGGGCCATGCTTCTATTAACAGCCCACCACATAATTCATTTTAAGGCATTGATCCTCGGGTGCCTTGTTTGTGACATCATAAGCAGGCGGCCCCTTCTAACTCTGAAGTTCCATGAATTAAAGGGCATTCCACACATATTAAATTCCTACCATATGGTGGGGTTGCAATGCGCTGGGCATGTAATGGTGAGCAAGATTGGCACAGTCACTGCTTTCACGGAGCTACCCGCTGAGAAGGATTTTCTCAACCTCACTATTAGGACAGAGTTTTTTTTTATTTCCAGAATCAATTTTTTTCCAGTTGTAGACTGGTAATTTACTGTCTCATTTATTATGTGTATCAGGTAGAATAAATCTTTAGAATCTAAACTTACGACCTATCTAGGCTTATGAGTCTGTTTCACTCAGGAGTTCTGTTTAAGAATCACACATTTAACATGATCGCTGAAGTGTGTCTAGTTTTTCAGTTTTCATATTTAACTGTTTTTGTTTTGATTCCATTTTCTGTAGTTTGAAAGGCAAATTCTAATGATATGGCATCAACTGAACACTTTGTACGGTGACACCATTCTAAGCACTTTACACATATCATCTCATTTAATCTCTATGACAACCACAGGAGCCATGTACGAATACTGTTCCCACTTCATAGGGGTTAAATAACTTGTCCGATGTCACACAGCTGGTGAAGCTGGGCTTTGACCCCAGGCAGCGTGGATCCTGAGTCTGCTCCCTGAACTCTAGCACTAAACTGCCACTATTCTTAATCGTCAAAGATTGTCCAGTAGGTTTTCAGTTGGAAGTTTCGGGGTTAACAGCTCTGAAGAGCTGAACAATCATGTGGGATTTTAAAATGTCTAAATCTAGCCAGGTAATGTACTGAGGAGGTAATGAAAAATTAAAAGCTTTTCAGTTTTTTTGGCTGAGCACTAATCTTTGTGGTTATGAATATATCCACGCGCCAGGGAATACTGCACTTTAGATAATACGTTAACATAAAATTGTTGGTACGGTTTTCAGCCTGACAGCCCTGTGTGCCTGATGTGTTTTCTGAAAGTAATTTTAAAGATAAGACTTCACTCTCCGATCTGAAGTAGGCCCTTTAAAGATTTCCAACGCCATACAGTATTTATGTAATTGTATCATGTATGTGGAGACTAGCTATAGTTTTATGAGTAGAGGAGTATTTTAACCATAAAACATTGTATTGTCCCAAAAAGAAACAGAATACAATCGAGAAATGCCAGCCACGCAATGTCAGTGAGAATTCTTGGCATTTAGTTTTAGAAGGCACTTTGCATGGAAATGCATAAAATATAAACAGGGTACTTTATCTGGGAGATGACAAGAAACTTCAGGAGTGTAATGTGCATTAAGTTAACATTCCAAACCTATCCTTTCAAGTTGTCAGCCAAGAATTTGTTTTTATAATTTCTTTGCAGTTGGCAAACATCTAGACTCTACTTGAGATATCAGTTTTCACGCTTATGGTCCCAGTCCCATTGTGTGCAACTTGCCGCGCGACCTTGACTCCACCACTCCCCTCCACCTCAGCCCAAAGGAAGGGGCTGGATCTCCCAGGCCCTGCCCGTTTTACAGTGCTGTGGTTCTAGCCTATGAATCATGACATAAACGCCAGAAAAAGTGCTTGCTAGAGGGAATGGAATGATAAAATGTGGGCTATGTAAGCATTTTCAAACGATCCATCTTACAGCCAGCTATAAAGAGAATGCAAGCCACGGCAGCCAGGGTCTACCAGCGATGTACTCGGTTTTGGTGCGGGGAGCCGCTGCTGTGCTCGGTTCCTCACCAAGCACCTTCTGCAGTTCACGGAAACAGTCCATCCATGGGCTTCCTGGACCTCCCAGCGTGAATGGGGTCTGAGAGATTCTGGGCAAAAGAAGCTGTGATCACAGCCACCATGGTCTGTGAGACGACTCTGAACAATCCCCTGAGCTGCAGGGAGGTGTGGACCCAGGGACACGCTGCCCAGCTCCCCCATTCCAGGCTGAAGTACTTGTGTTCCAGCTGCTAGGAGTGTTGGCTGCTGACCGTTCTTCAGGGAGATCATCTCTGGAGTGAGCCTTTGTGGCTGAAAAGAGCTGCTTTGCCCGAAGCTACATCCCCTTCTGGGGAAGCCTACAGCGAAGGACTGCACACTCCGTGGAGGGGCTGGTTAACAGTTGGCCCTTGCCTCAGTGGGGTCGAGCTCTGAAGAGCCCAGTACTAGAGCTGAGTGGGCTGAGGCCTTTGCTACAGCTCCATCTACTGTACCGCAGTGCAGCTTCTCCCTGTGCCCACAGATGGCGCCCTTGAACCCACCCCATAAACTTCTGGCTCTGAGATCTCTGCCTCCACTGTAGACCCCAGGGAACCCAGACCAGCCGCAGACACCTGAAGACCTGAGTTTGAATTGGGGCTCTGCTCATTTCTAGCTCTGGGTCTAGGAGTAAATTTCCTCTTCAGTAAAATGACGGTAATAAAAAATATCTCATGGAATTGTTTATTACAAGGACATGAAATGAATCCAAAGCACACAGTAAATGATTAATAGCAATAATTTACCATTTACTGAGCATTTACTATGAGCCAGGCACTATTTTATATACTTGAGCATATGGGAACTCTCTGAGGAAGATAATATCCCTATTTTACAGATGAGGAATCGGAGGCACAGAGAAGTTAACTTCTCCAAAGTCACACAGCTAATAAAAGTCAGAATTCAAACCCAGACAGCTGGACCGCAGAACCAGCACACTTAGCTAACACTCTGCTGACTCCCTTTGATAACAGAAAATGTTTTCAATTTTTGATGAGGATAAGTTTTTAAAATTTTTGGATGCTAATAAATAAAACCCCAATAATGTCACCTCATTCCAGAAGTACCTTTAAAACAAGGCAATTATAAAAGAAAAAATTCAAAGAATTTCCATACCCGTGTTTATATTTTTGTGTTGCTATAGATTATGTTTATTTTTGCCTTCGATCAATCATATTCATCAAGAGAGTAAATGAAATTGTGGGAGGGACAGGGAACTAATCTGGGGTGACAGTGTTTGCTGCATGAGATCACTTATTTTTGTTGTTTGTTTCTCTTTTGATGACATGTATACTGAGTTTCTATTTTAATGAAACATGTATTAAGTACAAGGTCAAAGATTAAATAAAACAATGCCATGTTTCACGATTAGGTAGTAATTTTGTATGCTAAGGAGGTTTAGGTAACATCATATTTCCTCCAGCTTGCCACTTCTCCCTCCCCTGGGTCACGGGGAAGGCGTTTACACCAGAGGAGGGGCGCTGGGACACAGGCCCCCCGCTCTGCGCCCCCCGGCCCCTCATTTACAGTGCGTGGTTGTGTTCGCTTCAGACTGGCTGTCTGATAGCCTGTGGTGGAAGGCATGTGCTTCACACTTCACTTCTAATTTGAACAGACATATACCACAATTTTTATCTTTGGGCATAATGTGTTAACGGTGCTTGTTTGGGCCCCTGCTCCCCTTTTAAAGTCAGGGAAGTCTTTTTTACTCATTAACACACACAGCTGCTAAGAGATTTTATGATTTGCAAACAAAGTGGTTTTTCATCTTCTGCTGTTAGATAACAAGGTATAAGAGTGTTCCTTCGACGCCAAATAAATTAAACATCTGAAAAATTTACAGCTCCAGGTACGTTTGCCAGACTAGCATAACTGAGTAAAGTCAACAGATTAAATGTTCCCTTGGCAATCAGCGAAGATATGAGACGCAGCACCTGGGCCGCCTCACTGGGTCTTGTTATTAAATCACAGGCGAGAGCTCGGCATCCAGGGTCCCAGGTGACAGGTAGGAGCTGACTATGGAGGACAGAGCTTTTGTTCCCTGAAATGTCATGGCCATTAGTGCCCATGACCTTAGGAAGCGGAATACTCTTAGAGCAATAAAGACAGAGAAAGCGAAGGGCAGAGGGGAGGAGGAAGAGAGACATAGAGACAGGGGCATGGGTGGGGGGGCTGCATATTTCAGTGAGTTATTTGTATGTCACTAAATTGGGGATTCATCCCAATTCACCATTCTATTTGAAACGTTGAAAGCAGAAACCTAATAAAAGGAGACTGTGTATATTTGCACAATCTTAGAGCAAAAGTTAAAAAAGAGTTAGGGAATATTTTGTATGTAGAACTAGTATTTATCCCCATCAAGGTCAAAACAAGAACTGGCTAGAGAAAGAAATAATATTTCCCTCTTTCTAATTCCTAGGTTTTGACCAGCACCTGCTCTGGCCTGGAGAAGGAAGGTTTGGTCTACGGAGCGGACGGCAACAACAGAAACACTGGACAGCAGGATCCAGGGTGTTATCTGTAATATTGCGGCTTACGGTACTTCTTGGGAAGGTTTTAAGTGCCAGAAATCAGTCATCTCTTTTTTAAAAAAATGGGATTTATTTATCAAAACATGGTTGTAAATTTGCACATTTAATGATTGGAGGGCTCAGATGACCAGTGGAAATTTGCAGGGGGTGGGCAGCAAATATATACTCAGTCCGTGGAAATCCCACTTCAGAGCATGTTCATTGCACCCAGTAGACAAGCAAGAGCCCATCTAAAAAAAAATAAATACCTCTTACTCCTCCCCAAAAGTCTCCTAGAAATCTAAGTGCTGCAAGAAAAATGTGAAAGGCAGAACTATGCTTATACTTCTTAAGTTGGCACAGCTTCTCCGGAGATGAATGGGGTAGGAGAAAAGGACAAAACAAAACATCCCAGGTGTCACCTCTGGTCGTTACTAGGTGTCTGCTCCTGCGAAGGCCCCAGTGGGGAGGGACGAGGATGGAAGAGACTGAGGACAAGGGCGGTAGTGATTATTCACAGATTATCCATAGAGCGCCTGACCAACAGAGCTCCTCCAGCTAAGGTAAACCCATTACGTTGGGTTCATTGCTGAATTCTCATGGGACACACTGACCTTTACATTTGCATTGAGGAATAAAGGGCACAAGAGAAGCTTCCCATGTCTTGTTTGTGAATATGACCTTGAAAATGTCCACAGGCTATTGTTGTCGTGTTGAGTCTGCAGCCAGGAAGGCAGAAATCACTGCAGCAAAGCAGGTGTGAACATCCCCCTATTGGAGAGGCAGCTTTCTTTGAAGTTGGAAAATCAAGGACACTGGTACCTTCAAGGAAACAAGGATATAATTATCACAATACCCAACTGGCCGGTGACCTTCCATTCCTCAGGCCTACCCTACTCCCTTCCCTGGCACCAGCCCAGGTCCTCAAAGACTGAGCTCTGTGTCCCAGACCGATCACAAGGAGGAGCAACCCACTCACACACCCTTTGAAAATGTTCATAATCTCTTTCTACTACACTGCTTCTGCTGACATAAATCCGCCGGCCCTGGGGGCCTCTGAACCCCCCACAAAAGGAGGCCCATTCAGACCAAGCGGAGTCTGAGCTGCTAAGATGTAGAATTTATGCTTCTTCTCACCTGGGCCACCCGTGGCCTCTATGCCAGTCTGTTTTTGAAGGTTAGAGCAAAACCTCCCAGCTCCTTGCCCAGTCGGCCATCATCACCTCACTCACAGAAGCAGACTTCTCAAGGCCGTTGGAAGCTAATGGCAGTGACTCTCAACTTCATTATTCTGTTTGAAACGTTGAAAGCAGAAGCTTGATAAAATGAGTTCAGAAAAACAAAAAGAGCTATAAATTATCATTTGAAAGGAGTGGCTAAAGAACTCATCTACTCGAAATATCTAGGGGCTATTTCTCAGTCACAGCAATAATCCTGTCCTGGGTTCCCTTCCCTTCACTGTGCAAAAGCCTTGGCTGTATTCTCTTAGCACGGATTCCTTTCTGCTTCCAGGAGTCAAGTATCCGAAGTGAGGAGCCACACAACACTCCCTACCCAACCCCTTCACACACGCGAGCACGCACACACACACACACACACACACCCCTTTAGCAGGTAAAACCTTCTCCAATGTTTTTTAATCTTCACTGGAGGATATATTTATTAATTTTAGAGAGACAGGAAGGGAGAGAGAAAGAGAAACATTGATTTGAGAGAGAAATATTAATTGGTGGACTCTGGTATGCACCCTGACCAGGGATCGAACTCACGACATTTTGGTGTACAGGACGACACTTCAACCAATTGAACTACCTGGACAGGGCCCCAATGTTTTGTTTTGTTTTTAAATTAGAATGGTATTCAAATGCATCATTGGAAATAGGGCAGTCTGTAATAATAGATCATGAAAATCCAGCAGATCATAATGTAAGCTTCTTGAGGGGAGGGCCCACATGTGATTCATCTTTCCATCTCCATAGCAGAAACACCAGGAACTCAATAAATGTCTGTGAATTAACGAAATGAAGAAAAATATGAATAGTGAGAATTCGCTAGTCAAAGTTAACTTACAACTTTAGCATTTGTAATTCATCATCCAAGAACCCACATCTGAGGGGCTGAATGAACAGTCAAGATTTTAATAGGAGCTATTGCCTCACGTGGTAACTATAAAATGTATGGGCTAAAAATAGAGTGAGCGAACAGGAGTCAACCAGCGATGTTTACTGAGGACAGTAGACTCAGGTTTGAAATGTTGAGGACTTGCAAGAATCTATAAATATCTATATGCACCTGACCTAAGTATATCAATGATTTTCTTTCTTTTGTTTTTTTTTTTTTTGGAAGATTTTATTAATTTATTTTTGGAAAGAGGGAAAGGGAGGGAGTAAAAGAGGGAGGGGAATATCAACATTAAGAGAAACATCCATTGGTTGCCTCTCGCATACCCCCAACTGGGGACCTGGCCTGCAACCCAAGCATGTGCCCTGACCGGGAAACCAGTGACCTTCGGGTTCACAGACTGGCTCTCACTCCACTGAGCCACACCAGCCAGGGCTATCAATGGTGCTCTTGATTTTTTTCATTCATTTTTATGATAAGCTTGCAAAACATGAGGGGAAGGGAGGAAGGAAGAATTAAAGAAAGGAAGGCCAGGTACAAAGTACTGATCAGGAAATAATCAATAGCCTTAACTTTATTCCTTCCATCCAGTCGCTCAGGCTCTCCTTAGAACCTTCAGTCATGCATGTTTAAAAGCATTTATTCCACAATTTCAAGGTGCTGAAAACCCCACAATCCAGTTTAATATAAGGTCATCCAAAATGCTGTAGTCGGGCCGTTCACAGTGCAGCAAGCCTCAGACAAGTTCACCAGAAACACATTCCGGAAGTTTTATTCTCTTTGATACAACTTTCAAAGCTCAGGGACAAGAAGAATCACAGTTACTGTTTATTGAGCACTTGCTATGTGCCAGACATCTTCCTCAAGAACTTTTCCATGCATTTTCTTGGCTAACTCTCACTACGGACAGCCTCCGTCTCCAGATGAGCAGACAGATGTTAAGGAGGAGACATAAGAGAGCCGCAGGAATGGGCAGAGTCAAGATACGAATCCACACCTGTCAGCCTCCACGCTGAGACTCATAAATACCACACAGCTGATGTCTCCACAGCATCGTATTTCTCTCGACTCACTCTTCATGGATTAGTCATAGAATCTTCAAGTCAGCAAGCATTTGGTGGGAAGATACTAGCACATAAAGGAAGAGAAGGGGTGTGAAGGGAGTACACAAAACAGTCCTTGCCTAGAAGGACATGCTATCTTCTCGGAAAGACAGTATAGGAAATAGTCTGTGAATAATTCCGGGCGTACAGAGTGCTCAAGGAGAGTTAAACCATGCATCGAAATGGATGGCACGGCCAGTAAACACAAGGATGACCAGGAGGCAGAAAGAGGAAATATTGGATGGTCTCATTAAAGTCTCATGAAGAAGCTGAGATTTGATAGGACTGTTATAGGATCTGGACAGACAGAGACAGGAGCAAAGGTTGGTTGGGTCAGTTCCTGACCCCCTGGGCTGCCAGACCCGAGTCTGTTCGGGCTGCAGACCCTGGAGAGGAGCTCCGCCAGGAAAGAGCACCCAGGGTAACACCAACACCAGAAGCCAGAAGCCAGAAGCACCACGCCTGAGGTGTCCATATAAAGGCACTGGGCCAAAGGTAACGTGCAAGAACAAGACAAAAGGTAAGAACCAGAGAGCTCAGTTCAAGGCCAGAGAATGAGGGAGGGAGGCAGAAATGAAATCTGGAGAATTTCCTCCAACTGCTTCATTCCAAAGACAGATAATCCTATGAGTTAAGACCAAAGGGTAGCTATGACAACAGTTTTAAAAAAAGGGTCGGATTGGCTCGGGTATATTTAGAAGGTGTAGCCAATAGTATCTCCCAGCAGACTGAACTGGGGTGTGAGGAAAACAAAACAAAAACAGGAGACAAGAGAAACCCTGAGGTCTTGGGTCCAGTTCAGCGAGGAACAGGAGTCGTCTCGGATGGCGACAGAGAGGTGCAAGACGCCTGCTGCCGGCCCAGAGGAGTGGAGCAGTCTGGGCTGCAGGTGAAAATCGGTCTCAGAGCCCATGCTTCAGCAAATATCTTAAGAACTTGGCATTTGGGGGTGGGAGAAACAACTTTCCAGAAATAACAAGAATTTTAAAAAACCAATTAGAAAAATCTCAAAACCAAGTTTGCATTACGACTTTCAAACTCCTGACCCTCCCAAGCTTTCTGATTATCTGGGTCCTTTTCTGACCCTTACTGCTCCCCTCTCTTACTTCAGATAAAATCTGTATTTGTCCACGCTGGTTCTGGCAGGATAACAATGGGGCCGTCCTTCCCAGGGGAAATAAATGTCCCTTTTCACAGTGAACTTTACAGAAACAGTGCTTCTCTGCTTGTTGACACTGTGATAGGACCACCACGAACCCGGGCACCTTCCTGCTCTGCAGTTTGCTGGACTACTGGCTGCCTTGGACCTCTTGGCCATTTCAGAGTTTTTCTCAGTTGACAAAGGAGGAGGATTGCAGGTCAGCGTCATCACTCAATAACCCTGCAATGCGTCAGGATTCATTCAGTGTTCTTATCACTAACGTTTCCTTATCTTGGTTATAAGTCAGGGTCACTGTGATTCTTTAAGACAGCGTATGACAGGGGAGAGGCAGTTGATCATTGTAGGAATCAAAGACTGAGCTGGACGTAAGGGCAGATGTCTTTACTCATGGATGCGGGAAGTTTCATTGGCTCATGTCCTGACCACGCATTGCTAGGTGGTGGCTGTGTGACTTGGATTCCACAACATGTATCGATCTACAAGCAGAAGTTTAAGTGCTCCAGTTTATGTTCATGGCATTTCATCCTCACATCAATAGGGAGAGGTGGTATGATTTTATGTTAGAGTGCGGGCAGGGGGAGGTTCAGAGATAGAGTGACAACCTGCCTAGACCCACAACACCCGTGAGTGGCAAGAACAGGGCTTTCAGAACAGGTCTCTGAGGGCCCTTACCATCATGCCACACTTAGGCCTCATAATATATGAGCAAATAATGAAAGATTTAAGGCAAAACTAGATAGTCTCTAAGCCCCATGAGAGCCAAAGACGACATGTCTTCTTTTGAAAAAGAAAACGTCTGTGTGGGAGAAATTTCACCTCTCACTATTGAGATTACACGCTTAGTTGCCAGGAGAAGGTGGGTAAACACTTGACTCAAATGCCTAAAAGACGTGATATCGGAGACAGGAATTTTCCTTTTTTCCATTTGCTCAAAAGAGTGTCCAAATCCCCAAATTCATAACTGTAATACACACACACACAGTGTGTGTATGTGTGTGTGTGTGTGTGTGAGTGAGAGAGAGAGAGAGAGAACTAATAAATGCTTACTCTGGGTAGGTACTCTGTTAAGTGCCCTCCATACATGATTTCTCTTAATCTCTGCATCAGTCCTGTGAGGCAAATACTATTACCTCCTGTATGTGACAGATGGTTAAGGTTTGTGTACTTACCAGCAGTACACAAAGCTGGGGAGAGGCAGACTGAGATTCCAGCCCAAGTGGATCCGAGTAACTCTCCATCTCCTCCAACGCTCAGTGCACAGCATTTGTAAACAGCACCCCCTCCAGTGGCTACTCTCAAACTTCAACCCCGGGCACGTAAGCTGAGAGCTTTCAGGCTGACACCTTGGCATTTTTGACTCAACTATAAAAGTAAGCACATTCTCTTGGCCCAGCAATTTCATTTCTAGGAACTTTCCCTAAGAAAACAATAGGTATATGTATACAAAGATTAATGTGCAAGTAAGTTTCATATATTGTTACTTTAGTTACTTATCACTAAGTCACTAATACTGGTACCAAGTTATTAGACTCAAGTGTCTAACGGGAGCTGGACCAGACCCACCACAGTATGTCCATGCTGGAACTGTGACAAAGCCGCTGAAAACCATGTTGGAGAAGAATAGTTGGTAACATAGGAACGCTCCTATGATATGTCAGGTGATCAAAAGCAGGCGCTATCCCAATTGTGTAGTATATCTACAGGGTGTATAATATCTATTGAAAAAATACTAAAAGAAATAATCTAAACTTTGAGGAAACACATGACCTCATTTAATTTGGCTCAAGACTGACAAGAGGCTTCTTTAGCCAGAAGGTTAATGCAGGGTCTTTGTGAGGCTCTGTAACTATCACCAAGTCTTCCCGCTGCTCGTGGAACAAGGTCCAGACTTCTTGACTTAGGCTGAGACCTTAATGACTCTGGTCGTCCTCTGACCATCTATCCAGCGTCTCTCTGCTTCGCTCACTCTGCTGCACCCACACGGGCTATTTTTAGATCCTAGATTGTAGCTGCTCAACCCTACTTCCTTGCAGGGCCTTTGCACATGCTGTTCCTTCTGCCTGGAATGCTTTCCTCCTGCTTTTCATTGCTGGCTTCTTTCTTCAGGTCTCAGCTTACATGTTACTCTTCAGGGGGTCCTTCCTCTACTACCTAATGTAACATAGGCACCCCGTTTTATTCTCCTGCCCAGCATCCTGTTCTTTTTCTATTTTAGTGCATATGATAATTTGTAGTGATGTATTTATGTTTTTTCACTTGTTCACTGTCTGCCTTTTCAGAAAGCTAAGTCCTGTGTGGCTAAGATCCCACGGTTGGCTACTCAGGTGGCTATTCATGGTAGGCACTCAATAAAGACTTGCTCAACGAGTGAATAAAGGAACAAAGTTAAAACAAAGTTACTGGACACTGACTCTGTACTCAGCAAAGTGCCGTGGAAGGTTAGACACAGACGAGATAGCAGGTAATCAATGTAAATCTGTGTAACACACAGGGGACAAGAATCCATGCACAGGAGTGCTTCACTTACTTCTAAACCATTTTCTAAGAATGGTTCATTGCACCTTAACTGTGTCCTGCATCCTAGAAGTAATATGAACTAGACAGAAGCATCACTGAGCACAGGTCTCCTACTTTTCTGAAGGATCTAGGGCCAAGTACACAGGTTGATGTGGAGCCCACCTGCAATGCTTTGCACGTCCTCACAGCCTCATTTGCCCTGCGCAGTCCCTCAGAATCTGCCTTCCAGGGGAGGGAGCCTGCTGAACCACAGTCTGAGGGCTTGTCCAGGATCCCTAGGGCCGTGGATCACAAGTAGAAGTCATCACGTCTCCTGAAGAACTGCACGAAATATGAAAGTGGTGGCCAAAAAAAATCACTTTTGTGTATAAAAAAGAAATCTTCATACATAAAATTTTGTAGGAGGCTTAAGAACAATTATAAGAAAAAATAAAACACAATTCTACACAGTAACTTAATTTCCCCCCTGCAGATTGGAAAATAGCAACCCTCCTCTGACTCCAGAAGCAGAACACGCAGGGCTAGCTGAGGCCCATCAGTGTTCCTCGGCCGTGTGGTCTGCAGACATGAAACTGAGTTTGCAGTGGGGGCTGGGGATGGCATAAATATTTTCCATGCCCCATTCAAACAGCAACTTCTCTATCTGCTACCATGCTATCAATTTTTCCAACCGTTGATTGCAAATTCACCTCATAAATCAATCTGTACAAGAGGTCAGAAGCCAACCACAGCCAATTAAAGCCTCTCAGCAATAATTCATCCAAGATCTGAGTCAGGATTTTTTTTTAACAAGTCCTAGGAGGCTCTTGTTTATTCTAATCAGATCAGTAGAGGAAGAGCTAAATTGGGTAGAACCCACATTTTTCTCTTATCCCAGCACATAAGCTCAGATGTTTTTACAAGGAAAGGAAGAGGAAAAGGAGAAAGCTAAGAGGAGAGAGTGGGCTGAAGAGTGAGAACACTTTCTCCACGTGAAGCAGTGTCACGGAGGTTCTCTCAAGGCTACGCCTGCTTCTAAGGCTTCTTCTACCTGCAGCACCGAGTCCAGTCAGAATGGCGTCACAAATACAACGAAGCTGCTCTTCAGTGAGTGCCTGCGACCATCAGGCCCTGGGGAAGACGGAAATAAACCAGTATGTGTGATGCTTCTTAGCAGACTTTAGACTATACAACTGTAACTATATTTTTACTGCAGACCTGTGCTGGAAGCTGAGTGAAAGTGGACAAATTCCCTAGCTTTCTAACTTCTGTTTCCTCTCTGTTAGACAGGTACTAATAACAGCATGGATGGGCATGTGGTAGATGAAACGAGATGTCTGCAAAGCACTCACGTGCCCTGTGGCCCCCAGAGTGCCCACTCAGTACTGGCTATGACCAAACACGATGCCAGGCAAAAGGCCCTGCTGCAGGGCTCCCTAGTTATCAGCTCATTCGGTGTCAAGATTCTCCCTGCTGCCCCAGGTCCGGCCAGACTCTTGACGGATCACTCGCGGGGCCTGCAATGACCTCTGCTGGAGGTCGGGCCTGAGGAACTGCAGGCTCCCGTGGGCCGGTTGCTCAGGGCGGTGGCCCCAGCCTCCTCCGTGTGGCAGAGCAGAACCTGGGCGGCCTGTGTCTGTTGGAGGGGCTTGGTGCCGCCCCAAAACACTCCTGCCTGATTAACAAGGCTCTGGCTTAACCCCCCTCACACAAGCAAACCTCCCAGCTACTTTTTACAACGAAATGCTTTATTTTCTAATCATAAATGTACAAATAAATACTTATCATAACAGTTTGCAGATTTGAAGTGCATAAAGAAAAAAAAAATAACAGACTCCCTATTTCCACCCTCTTTTGCCCCCACCCACTTACCTGCGTCCTGAGGTGACCAATGGCAATTGTTCTGTGAATATCTTCCCATGACTTGTAAATACCAGGGGGGACCCAAAAATCCAGGAATTTATTTATAAAAAATTGTGCATCTATTCTTACATGTTTAAACTTCAGTCACCTTCAAAGTACCCTCCATTTGATTGAGACTTTTTTCCACTGCTCAAAACAGTTTTTGAACTCGTCAATTTTGGTGCCTTTTAGTGCATCTGCCATTTTTTGTTTCACCTCTTCCATGTGGCAAAACATTTCCCTGTGAGGACTTTTTTCATGGGGGAAACAAAAAAAAAGGTCACTTGGGGTGAGATGGGATGAATAGGGAGGGTGGGGCACGGGGGCCATGCAGTTTTGGTCAAAAACTGCTGAACACTCAGTGCAGTGTGGGTGGGTGTGCTCATAAATCACCCATCATGAAATGGGCAAACACCAATGAAAGAGTCTTCGCAAAAATTCACTGAAGCTGGATGCAGCCTCTCACAACTGCACCAGCTGGTACACTGACACAGATGGGTTCCTAGAACACTCACCTAGCGGGGGAAGCCTGCATGACAAGCAGCCCATCCTCCAGAAAATAATTCTGGGTTTTTTGGGGTCCCCCCTCATACTTAAAAAATACTTTTAAAGCATCCATACAAACACATATAACCAAATAGATATATGATAAACATTACTTTGCAACTAACTTGCTTTCTTTTCTCCCACAGCCCCAAATCTCATGGACACCTTTCCCAAGTGTCATTTAGAAACTCTAGACAAAACTGTGAGGTCTTTACCCAGGTTCTGCAGGACACTCAGCAAAGTACATGGAAACGTCAGCTTTGTCTTCCTCGTTATCATCTTTCAGATTTCACCCAAGGACCCAAAGCCTGGGTTCCAAAACCTGCTTTGGGATGAAGAAACTGTGACCCAAGACTCCTAACTGTTTTATTTATTTCTCCGTAAAACCAGAGTAGCTGTGGCTATTTGTGGCCGATTTTTCTTTCCCAGGAAATTCTCTTTGTCTTTAGACTTTGCCTAGATTTTGAGACAAGAGCCAAGGAAAGCTGACGGCGAGAGAGACTGTCTCCCTCTCAGAGGTCTGTCTGCAGCTCCCAGTGCCGCGCAGTCCCACCCGAGGACGAGGGCGTGGTGTGAGTGCTTGCGCACACAAATCGTGTCCACTCCATGGTGATGCTGTATGGGGTGGCCCCGCCCTCAGCCACACCAGCCCGGAGCACAGAGCCCCTCAGAAAACACGTCACGATAAACAGGGTGCACCCAAGGCCCTTAGCTGTTGGACGGGTGGCATTTCCGTGAAACAGAGTGAGACCGAGGGTGGCGTTAGAACTCATCATGTCCTAGGCAATTCCGGAGAAGATGAACATGAAGCCGAATCCTGTTGCACACCATGGGAAGTGTGAAAATTCACAGTGGTCGTGCCCAGCGCTACCATTCCCTTTTGTTCTGTATTCACCACCAGCCTCACCAACTAGAGACGGGGATGTTCTTGGGATGATGAGGTCCTCAGGTGTCTCTCTCACCTCTGCTGGGAAGACAAGAGACCAACACACCCTCCCACCCACCCTGTGTCGGGGCAAGGACGTAAATAAAGAGACGCAGCTGAGTGAATCGAGATAAGAGCTAAGAAAAAGTAATGTGTCTAGGGAGAGAAAGGGGTGCTCCGACACCAAGCTTAAGCCCCTAAATCCTGCCTAGTACTAACACGGATAAGGAGTCTCCTTCCAGCTGGAAACAGAGCAGCCCTCATAGAGTTATTTATTACTCACCCACCATGTTTATTATTGTTGGAGAGCCAGAGAAAGTGGCTGTGTTTACGGCAGGTTAAAGGGAAATCCGAACCCTGCACACAGGATCCGTGAGACCCCTGGAGCCCGCCGGAGATCAGACAGCAGAAATCACGGGGCATGGGGACCCTCACCCATAGGCACGCGTCTTCTCTAATCCCCGCGTGTACGCGTTCAGCACTGGACTGGGAGCTTCTCGAAGACAGGGGGCGTTTCGTTCCCCGCACATCCGCTCCCAATCGTCCTTTCCCAGGAAATGAGATTTACGAAGCAGGAGCTCCATAAATACTTGTGAAGTGGACTCAATCAGAGAACAGAATCTGTGCTGATTGTCAGTAAAAACAACTTAATCTCCAGCTGATACTATTCAGAGTCTAGTGCAGGAGGGACTCGATTAGCCAGCACGCGGGGAAGAGACAAGCAGAAGTTAAAAGGAGATGCTGCTATTACCGTTCCTAAAATGAGTGACTCCATTCATTAAAATGTATTTTTTAATTTTCTCACTAAAATTTGTACCATGGTGGTCAACTCCCCTCCCCCTCTTCATTTTAGACACGAGGCTCAAAATTGAAAAAAGGGAATATATGCCGATCCCCTGGCACAGTGCCTGGTATGTGCTCCAAAATGCTGGCTTGCTTCTTCTTTCTTCTATCTTGTGGACTTTAATTCACCGAAGTTGGAGTAAACGGAGGCAGATTGTTTCCTGAGAGCACAATTTGGCAGGAAAAGGAAAGGTGAGAGCCAGGAGGGGAATCAGTGAGGAACATGGGAAAAGGTGCTGTTTCGATGAAGACTAGAGTTCGCTGGCAAAACAGAACACATGGGAATATCTGTGATACCACAGCCACTTGATGCTGAGAAGCCAGGCTGAAGACATTCGGGAGAACCCTAACTCAGAGTCTCCTCAGTGAGAACAGGAAATGGAAGGAAAACTTCTCAGACTCTCGAATGCACATTCTCTCTCTCTCTCTCTCTCTCTCTCTCTCTCTCTACACACACACACACACATACACATATATTTAGGGGTGTGTGTGTGTGAGGATAGGAAAATGTATTATGGGTAACTGCCTTCTTACTAATTTAACCTCTCATGTGGGCATTACTCATTTTTAAGAAATCTTTGACAAATTTGGCATTTTCAAATGTGTGCAAAACTCAGAAGTGCTGATTAAAAAACGTATAGAATACAATTCTGTACAAAAAAAGCCAAAGTGAGATTCTGGGGCCATTTCCCCCTCTAATTTTAATTTGTTTCTGTTACTATTTTTTTCTAATTTTTTTCTTTCCCTGCCATATTTTTTCCAATACTATCATTATAGTTTCAAATACAGTTGTAAGTGTGCTTTTACAAGATCAAAATTTTGCATTATATATACATTCTTTTTATTCAATAAATATTGATTGAATTCTCGACACTGTACCGAGAACTGACTTTTAAAAAGTTAAAGATATCTTTGAGTCTGTCTTTTCCTATAGCCTTCCTTATTAAGACCATCCCTTTCATATGCCCTAAAAAAATAAATGAACAAAACTACCAGGCTATAAAGGGAACTTAAAGTAGATTATAAACACTACAAATGAATAACATCACTACACTAAAAAGGGACATAAAAGGAACACTTAAATAATGATGGTAAACTGGATCTCAACTAGATAGCATCAGGCTAAAAACAAAAAGAACTAGCTGTAGATCCTTTATTCTATTTAGCAAGTGTGCTTCTCATGAAATGTTTACTAAAGCATATAAATGCTTTATATAACTATATAACAACTATAAAGCATTTACTAAAGCAAATCTATAAATATGTTGTAGATAATCACAGTCTGGTTTCTCTCTGTTGATGAAAGAAGTTACAAATAAGAAAAGGGGGAAGGTTAAAATCAACCCTGTGCAGCTGGTTTAGAATCCAAGCTATCATTATAAACTCATAATATCACGTATGCATGTATGTGTGTGTGTGTATATATACATACACACACACAAACAACAGATAGATACACACAGAAAGATAAATATGGAAATACAGTTGGGTGGAGACAGTACTAATGGGTGTATATACATGGTTTATAGGTACATTATTTCCTAGATCTGTCTGCTGATAGGGCCTAGAAACAATGATACCCAGTCTCAATGAGCACACCTAGTGCCCAGATCTTGGTTTCCTTGGAGAAGTGGCAGGGCAGGGGCAGAGAAAATGAGTCTGGAAAATTTTGTGGAGCCAAAAAGTAGGAAAGTGCTCAAAATAAGATGAGGGCATGTCCAGAGAAAACAAGAATCTGCCTAAAGGAGCTCCTAATGGACAAGTTAGGACAATTTTAGCAGTACACACACACACGTGCGCATGTGCACACACACACTATTAGATTTTGTCCACAGAATTTTAAAAAATCCATGAGTCCAGACTTATATAAATATGTGATTGAATAAGTAATAAATAAATAAATAAGTGGCTAAGAAGAGACAGCTTTTCCTTATAGAATTCCAGTGACTAGATGTAGAAAGAAAGAAGAAAATAGAAAATCACCATTAGGCAAATATCATAGTAACATTTATCATAGACAAGATCCACAGAGGGATGCTAAAAAAAAAAATCAATGGACAAAAATAGATTTGCAGAGTCTCCAAGTAACTCCCTCAAGATATTTATTCATGACATAAGGGAAAGACAGTTACTCTGCTGTGGAGAAACCTGCAGACACCACCTTAACCAAGTGATCAAAGTTCAAATCACCAACAATCATTCATATTGACATCATGAACCCTTTGACTTGAGAAGGACACAATGTCATTTCTGTGATGTTCTTGCCAAAAATGCCTAACCTCACTCTAATCATGAGACAAATCAGAAATCCAAATTGAGGGGCATCCTATGAAATGAAGAATACTCTTCAAGTTTGTCAAGGTCATAAAAGGCATGGAAAGGTATGAAACTGTTACAGACTAACGAGAATTAACAACCAGATGCAATGTGGAATTTAGGGTAAGATACTGGAACAGAAGAAGGATGGTAGTGGAAAAACTGATGAAATTCCAATTGTATCAGTGTTAATTTCCTGAGTTTGACCCTTACGCTATGGCTGTGTAAGATGTTAATATTTGGGGAAGCTGGGTGAAGGGTATCCAGGAACTCTCTGCACTATTTTTTCAACTTTTAAAATAAGTTTAAAATTTGTTCCAAGTAAAAGTTTTTAAAAGATTAAGCCATAGTTTTGCCCTCAAAGAAAATTTAATGGGAAAAAAAGTGGAGAAAATTGGGAGTTAAGATACTCCACCTACATAGAGCATCCCACTTCTGACTGCTCCCTTCCCTGTTTTCCCATAGCATTTACCCCATTCTAACACATTATATAACTTACACATTTATTACATGTGTGCTTATTGCATACCGCCTTACTAGAACACTAGTTCCCTGAGGGACAGACTGTATTTTGTTTGTGGTTTATCTTGAGATCCCAGAACAGTCTAGCACAATGCAAGCAATCAATATTTGGTATGTGTGTGATAAATGAATAAGTATTTGAAAGAAGAATAAATGCAAGGCAGCATAATGTACAGAAGATGCTGTGACCTCTAATGTCTTCAGGACTTTGCAGGTAACTTGCAAATGTGAAAGCGTGTCTGAGTTGGTCCTGATGCATCTCATGTGGCCCAGGGAATGCCTGGTACATAGAGGACACAATAAATATTTGCTAAAATAATTCATATGAGATATTTTCATTACCTGGATGCAAACTATACATCTGAAATTTTAGTGCTGTTTTTATTGTGTAAATGCCACTATATTGACTTACCCAACATTAAAGGAGGATAAAACTAAATTTATTGGTCAATACAAAGATATTTTGTATCATACTATTTTAGCTGCTCCATACTAAAATTTTCACTTCCTCTTTGATTAAAACAAGTTTGTTGGAGGAAAAGGTATTTCTCAGAAACATTGTACTGAGATGTAGCCATAGTGTCATATATGGCTGCTAACAATATTAATTGCTATAACCTTTCTAAAAAGCAATTAAGCATCATGTGTCAGGATTCTAAAAAACTGTGCATAAGTTTCACAAAGCAATTTTTCTTCTGGAATCTATCTTCCAAATTGGACCATGTGGATTGGCCATCACAGAGTTAGGTATGAATTAGAGATAGTTAAGAGATGAAAGAGTGACCAAAAAAGTAAATCAATGATGTGAAAATGGCTAAGTACATAATGATATAACCAAAATATGGATTATTTTACAGGCATTAAAATGCATGTTCATCAGTTGCTTTTAGCACCATAAGAAAATGCTTGTGCGAAAATAAGTGAGAAAGAGGAGGATACAAAATTATACAAGGAGTATTATCACAATTATACAAAACATAATCTTAAGAAATGAAAGTATGTAAGCTCTTTGGAAATTTCCCCCACTTCTTTGTACTTTACTTTTCATTCAGTCTACAATTAACATATACCACTTTTAAATTCAGAAAAGATGTCAGTGATGAAATATAAAAATATTTGATTAATTTTAAAATTACTATGAGAAAAAGACCAAAAGCCAAAGTAAAATTGATTTTAAAACTTACAGTATTAGCCCTGGCTGGCGTAGCTCAGTAGATTGAGCATGGGCTGCGAACCAAAGTGTCACAGGTTCGATTCCCAGTCAGGGCACATGCCTGGGTTGCAGGCCACAGCCCCCAACAACCGCACATTGATGTTTCTCTCTCTCTCTCTTTCTCCCTCCCTTCCATCTCTAAAAATAAACAAATAAAATCTTTAAAAAAAACGTACAGTATTATCAGAATACATGCTAAATGGATTCA